TCTCTCTCTCTCTCTCTCTCTCTCTCTCTCTCTCTCTCTCTCTCACCCCTCCTCCCCGCCCCCTTCTCTCTGCTTCACCCTCTTCGATAAATCTGATACTCAAAATAGATGATATATCGTCGAATACAACGTGATACACGCATTTTTTAAATTAATCACTCAGACAAAATGTTCGTCTTGCACAGTTCACCTCCCATTCCATAATAGTGGCATTTTCCCATCCTTTTATATTCCATTCAAATTCAATGCGGACATACTCGTGGTGTACTTATATTTGTCGATTATGGTACATATCTGTAAGCAGAAAGTAGTGTGTCTCCTACAGTGATACATTAAACAAACGTTTGTCGACGAAAACAGAATTTTTACTTAATTTACATTAGTACTTGTTACAAAAAAATAAGCACAAAGTATACTATGCATTTATAAAATAATGTAAGCACCTTAATCGATATGTGCAGTTATGCAAATTAGAATTCACCGTTAAATTTTTAAGCAGTTAATATCTTAGCGAACATTATAAATACAATAGTGTACGATAAAATAATTTAATTGAAATCAATTATTGTCATAAGCAATTACACAATATTAACTTACCTAGGAGGATGTTTCAAATAAAGCTAATATGCAGTTGTAAAAAAGAAACACACTTTTTATACTTAAATTCTTCTTACCAAATTAAAAACCTGTGGCAACTAATTGCATGTTATATTCATAACTATGTTGAAAACTGTAATCAGTTCAACTTTTGATATAATATAAAATCTATCCACAATAAAAACAAGTACGTGATATAAAAATTATACATTTTAACTTAACATACATAAATGATTGAAGATGCAAATAAAAAAAGCAGCAGTAGTCAAAATTTAATAATAATTATAAGTCATGACATTTAAATAATATAAAAAATTTCGAAATATTTTCGTATTATCACTATTTAGACAAAGGTGTTTATAAAAGAACTCGCAATTGCATTAATTAAATCAACAGACTCAACTTTTGAGTAAGAAATTAACATTTTCTTTAATGTCACTTTAATATTTACAGTAATAGGATGATGAATATATTACAAGGATTGTTTACTCTCTTGCATCTAGTAATCCACTGTATAATGCATATTACAAAAATAGGCATTATGCAAGTATGAATGAAATAAAAATTATAAGAAATAAACGTAATAGGAAAAGTATATAATATTTGTAAGCATACTACAAGCATTAATATCTCGTGGCAGAATTTTGTGGAATTCAACGTATAAAATGCGAAACAGATAAAGTATTTCTTTTCATTCAAGTATAGAACTATAATTATACATTTGCTCACAATATAGTACAAACAATAAGTATGACTGTAGTTTTTGCAAACACATCGTTATGTGATACTATAAGAGTATAGAACCACATTGAAGGTTTACAAATAAAAAAAAGAAAGTATGAAATCTTAGGCTGTGCATTATTATTCATTGCAATAATTAATCTAAGCTATGTGAGATACAATAATGATGTAAGAAAATTCTTATATAAATAATTATCTTTTGTTCGGAAGAAAAGCTATTCTTTAAATGCCAAAAGATTGGAATTTATAAATGTTCATCTCAAGATTGTGCAAAAATTAATTCGTAACAAATAAGTCTGTTTATGTTACAATAAAGTTTAAAATCACTGTTACACATACATTTTCATTAATGATTCTTTAATAATAGAAAGATAGTATTTTGTGATAACATCACATATGATTAGCGACATATTTATTCGCCGCGTTTTAAAAATTTCCCTAATTCTAGAACGAATCAAACTGGTTTACGCAGAATTAATTTTTACATTATGACTTATTATACAATCAATAAAGATTAAAAAAAAAGAAACACTGACTCAACTTCTAATATGCGCGTGTTCTGTTCACTTATTAAATAAATACAAAGACCAAAATAAGTCAGGAATACATGCAATAAAAATATTAAACATAACAAGAAATATACTACAGCAATATCTACTCAGATACTCCATAATACTAATACGAAATTTTGCGTGAAGAATCCATAAATTGCAAATGTTTAACCTAATTAATATCAAATCTTTTGTTATCATTGCAAGACCATCATCAGTCTCTTCTCCTTATACATTTTTACATTATAAAAATATGTAGACATAATATATTATTATATTGAACATTGGACTCATAACATATCTGTTGCATATATCAATTCTTTTGACTCCTTCATGAATATTATTTCCACTATTGTAGATCACCAAGGTGACAAATTTTAACTAATATAAAAATATATACCAACACAGTATTTGACACGTACAGATTTGGATAATCACTTGCAACAGTTGCCAGTCGCTGCCTTTTGTCCTTCCGTCTCGACTAACCGACGACCTTGACCGCTCGTACTTGCACTTCCTGATTGTTCATTCTTTGGAAGTTTTTTAGCTATAACAAAAGATTGATAACGCAAATTTATTTGCACATTCATATTTATTATTAAGTACAAGAATTACAGTGTAGTAAGAAGCAAATCTTTTAATAGCATGCCTAATTCGATAACAGATACTATTTCAAAACCAGATGCCATTTTCATATTGCTTAGATAACATAATCATGAATGTGATTGGAAGCATTGGCAAACCTTTGTCGCTACCGCTTTCATTTCGAATATAATAATTAATGTGCCTTGCACAATGAAAAATGATAGTGCATTATCTTACCTATCGCCAGGAATATATCATTAACATTCATTGCTGTTTTGGCCGAAGTTTCCATAAAAAGAAGACCATTTTCATCTGCATATGTTTGAGCTTCATCAAATTCTACGACTCTCTTATTTCCAAGGTCTGCTTTATTTCCAGCTAATGCTATGACTATGCTTGGACTGGCTTGTCGTTGTAATTCCTTCACCCACGTTTGGGCACGTACAAATGTGTCCTACATTTTTAAACAATAACGAAATGTAGATATATTTGCCTTTTAAATGCAAAATCCAGAGTTGACTTTAAACACGTTTTACAAAAGAGAGATAAAATGGAGACAGAATTTGGATACGTGTTTATACTTTAACAATTTTGACTTACCTGATTTGTTATGTCATACACAACAATGGCTGCTTGAGCACCCCGATAATACATTGGTGCAAGACTATGATAACGCTCTTGTCCTGCTGTGTCCCAGATCTCAAATTTTACGGTTGTGTCATCCAGACATACAGTTTGTGTTAAGAATGCAGCTAGAACGATTAATATAACAATATGATGGCTTTTGACAGTTAATATAAATACCATTTAACAATATATAAGATGAGTCAGAATGATTAATACAAAAACAAGTTGAAAATGTAGAAAAAATTTAGTTCGTACAATGCTTCGTTTCTGAGATAATCAATTTGAAAAATCAATTAACACATATGTCTTTGATTTCATAGTAAGTAGAAACAGATTGCAATGAACAGTTGTACGCGTATCCAGCACATTTTTGAACTCGAGTATCTCAAAAATAAAGTATCCTACAAAAAAATTTTATTCTAAATTTTCAATTTATATTTGCATATGGAATAATCTCCTGTTCAGTTATACTACCCATCCTGGCCCATTCTTTACATGTATTGTATTAATTGAAAAATTCCTACCTCCAATAGTACTTTCTTGATACTCATGGAACTGTCCTTTAACAAACCTCAACACAAGGCTTGATTTGCCAACCGCGGATTCCCCGAGCAGCACCAATTTAAACTGACAAATCTTCCCTTGTGTCGAACCATTTGGCCTCTGGGCTGTACCCCGATTAGCCATGATCACCTAAATCCACAAAAACATTTTTAACTTCAACAAAGTATTATATCTTGTAAACATAATATAACAAATAAGCGTTCAAACATATAAAATATTTTCTAATTTTCATATTTGCCTAACCTTTAAATCAATAAATAAATGTTTATTTACATTAAGACTGCATGCAATAGATAAGCTCTCGTTTATATATTCTGCAATTTTCATTCAATTGAATTTATTAATTTTAGTATGAAAAATCAAAACATTCTGGAAAAGTTCTTACAAACTCTTTTTGCAAATTGAAAGATACTTTAAAGTAGAAGTTAACAAAAGATACAAATACATACAACTAAGAATGTATATCTAAATTTTGTACTCTACAGAAAACAAGAAACTAATATAATCAAGTAAAAAATGTCTCAGTTCAAAGACGAACGAAGGGTCGATACCCTATCGAAGCGCAAGAGAAAAATATAATTAAATGCAACAACTGGAATTGAATGCGTGTTCGTAGTATCAGTTCATTAAACGCGCGAATCCTCAGTGTGTTTTGCAGAAATAAAATTACGATACGGACTATTATAAACAAGTACGCGAAATTTTGTTATCTGCTTTGTTGTCATTAGTTTCTGCGAGGCACTTGCAAGTGGGAAAGCACGGTGGATAACACTAGAAGGAAAACAATAGCGTATGCTTATAACCCATTAAAGCGGGGGATGGGAGCTTCTTAATTACATTATCTAATTAGTTCGCGCAACGAGTCTTGGCAAATTAAGCAGTTCAGCGTTGGTTCGCGATAATGTTACTACTAATGAAACTCGAACCCCCAAATGATAATACTAGGTCCGTTCCAACGAAGGGCGAGGATAGGTAAGACACAGTAGCTAAAACGCAGCCAGTTCACGACAATCACGGGATTCTTGTAATGCAATGATTATTTAAAAGGGAACAGGTTCCACTCGTGCGAGCTTGTCCATGTTAAGTATGAGTACGATCTCACAGAAAAGAAGTTCATAAGAGTGACATATAACCGAATGAAAAAACACAGACGACACGCGCATACAAGCTATCTGACGTAGCTTCCGCGACCGTACCGATTGCGTACAACTATCGTGCCCGTGAAAAAGGACTCACCGGAAAGTTAACTACGTAACCAATACCTCATAACCTTCGACAAAATGGCATTATCGAAAAATCACGAGAAACCGTTAAAGCGGTGCATAGAGACTGCGAAAGAAAGAAACCGATAAGGACAGAAAGTTCTATGTACGCGCGCGCGAATTCTCTTTTTCGTTCTATCCTGAGCTCGGTAGTCCTCTTTCTCTCTTCTGTCTGCATCCGAACTCTGTCCTCTTTTATCTCGTTTCGTGGGTCGCTAAAAGTACAATCCTCTCTCTCCCGCATTCAGTTACTCATTCGCAGGGCTTTCCATCTCTCGCACTCGCTCGTTCGCGTTCTCTCTTTCTCCATTCCTCTCTAAAGATACCAGGAGGGAGACGAAGAGAGGAAAATAAAGGGAGTAAGCGATGCGCCGCGATAGTTACGGATCCGAGTACTTGTCACCGCCCATGAAACGTCAGCAAGATCTGAAATATCGAATTTTTCGAAAAGCCGAACATCATCTCAGCCAAAAGATCAGGCACAGTTTGAGAAAATCGCGTGTCGCAGAGTGCACATGATCTTTATTAACGACGGTCCGTGCAATCATATACACGTCGCGAAAGGTGAACAATGTATGTACATAGGCGCATTTTGCGTCTCTATCGTGGACGACACTGTTTCATAAACAACCGATTTTCTCGCACACAACGCTCCACGGAAGAAAAAAGTAGAAACATTGAAAAATGTAGTTTTGTTGGTAGCATGAATAGGGACACTTAACAAGATGGAAAACTCGAAATTTTCGATGCTTAACCTGCTGCGTGAGGAAACTCGCCGTCGGATAGAAATGCGGCACTAGCTCTTTAGACGTTTACGTCGATGGGCGCACACACCGCACGACGATGATTAATGTCAATTCACTGCCGCGCGTAAGACACGATCACTTGTCTCCAGTAAATCGGCCCACTAACAGAGCATAGATCGTGCAATCTATATAGAATGTGTACATTTATGACAGCTCCGGTTGGTACACACACCAGTAGACACACGACCCCGTGAAGATCGTTGGTTTTTTCACACTCCCCTTTTTTCTGTTCGTGGAAGAAACTCTCCTATCACTTTTCCTCCCGAAACAACGGTCTTTTACGGCACTTTCCTCGATCAAGTATATAGTATAGATGCCTCTTTAACCTGATACGACCGTGTATCGAGTTAAAAAGTTTGATTGCACTAAAAAGAATCGAGACTGAAGCTCAAATCACGCATACACAGTACACACGATGTTGCAACACTTTAGTTCACAATGCAAACCCGTAGATTACGCGCACACAATCTTTACTCGCTGACCAACGGATCAATCAATTACCAGCAATCGTTCGTGAAACCGTGAAAATACGACGAGACGACTTCAATCGAGGTAGATCTTTCGGGGGTCCTTTTCTTCAACGTCGTTTTCTTTTTCCTCGAGTCGGAAATGGCGCATTTCGATGGTAGCGACCGGACAAGAGCGCCACCAGACTTGCGTATGTATTAAATCGAAACCATTCATAAGCTTTTAACACATGCCACAGGATGCGCTGATACTATCCTTCGCATAGGATGGTATCAGGCAGTATCACAGCCGACTCTAGTACTAGCTGGTAATAATCTACCACTTTGGCGAGGGGACCGTAGGACTGGAGGGGAGAAGGAAGCGGTCGTTAGAGGTACGTCGGTTAGCTTCGGATGCATTCGGTTCGATTCGGCTTGTTGATAATGGCTGGTGGGCTGTGTGCCGTACTATTATTTAATGCTTTATACTATTTATTAATTTTGTTAAATACATAGATCTATACAAACTACATGACACGGAATTTTTAACGTATAATAGGTATATTTTTGTCATCTCTCATAGCATACATGTATGTAACGTGATTGTATACCCGAATAGCACCGAAAAGGAACGAAGTTACCCGATTTACTACTATCCACCCCTTTACCGCGAATCTTACTTCCCCGCTCAGTTAATGCTCCGTCTATATATGTCTATGAGCTGGTACTAGTCGTGCTGAAGGTAAAAACGACAACAATGCGAGAGTTCGGCTTCAATCACGTTCGCATACACAGGTCCGGAAACTCCTGTGGTGGGGGTGATCTCTTAAAGGAACAAAGTGTACTTTCGAACTTTGCCACGAAGTGAGGGCGATATAGACTTTCGACAGTCATGGACCTAGGAACGGGATCTTGCGCTCCGTCTTCTAATTCCTATGTCCATGGGTTCAATCGCGGTCCCATCAGGTAGGGAGGGATGTTCGATTCTCTTTAAAGAATCGATTCTCAAAACGATTCTGAATCGAACCATGGAGAATCGATTTTCTTAAAAATTTAATACAAAAATCGTAATAAATTTTATATTAGATTAATTCTTGATTTCAAGGTATATTTTTCATTATGTATATAGACATCTTCTCTTATATGTGCCAGCCATAGATGTGTTATTTTATAAATTTTAAATTCTATAAATGTTAAAGTCTATAATGCTAAAGAGTTTCTTATAGCATCATTATATTCAATTGCTTTGCATTTATGGATCTGACATAAAGAGGATGTATATACATATACGTATGATTAAATAATCAGGTACAAAATGTTAGGAACATTTGATTGTAAAAATAAAGTATATTTACAAAAAATAACTGGACCTTGAAATCTTCCCCAACACTCCACCTATAAAAATACCATTAATACCACATAATGTGCCCTGTTACACCTAACAATTTTTATCAAAACATTTTTTTTATAACTTAAATCCCTTGTGAGGGCCACTGTACATATACTCACTTGAACGGAACACCCTGTATATGTATATCTCTAGTTTTAAGATTAACTGCCCCCTCACTCCCATTTAATTTAATTTTTTTTACACTTCTGTCAAGTGCTTGTGTTTTTACACTTTTGTCATTGCTTTTGTATCCTTTGTTCATTACTGAAGGAGGATTGCACATGTTATGAAATATCTAGAATACTGTTCGTATACAAATGAGTGTATATATTTTGTATATTTTTTTATTTTTTTATGTTTTGAATGAAACATTTCATAAATCAGATTTAAATGATCTACTTGTGAATTTCGAATGATAGTAAAGTGACTTTTCGAGTTTTCGCGCTGCGATTTACACCACAGGATATCATGGAATAGATAGGAACGATGGTTTTCGTGACATCTCCTGAAAAAAATGAATGAAGTAGATAATTATCTTGTTCGGCGATGTACATGTAAATAATGTTTAAAATACATGACCTTTGTTGTAGATAAATGAATTATGATAGACTCGCGTTTATATGATTTGTGTCCCATAAAGATATAATATTTTTTACTTTTATAATAAAAAATCAGTTTTTGTAAGATTTGCCTGAAAATATGTCTTATCAAATTATGATACACCAAATGATTATATAAGATATCTATAAAACATGTAGATACAATATTACAATATATTTATGTTTTATATGATCTGTCTCATTACTAACATTCACGCTTGCCAATTCGAGCATCCAATTGCTCCACGGTTGAAAATAAGTTTTCTCTGACTTATCAATTGTGTTCTTATATTTCCTGTATTGAACACGTTTAAATATTAAGAAGTGAATGAAATGCCACCCAAAAAGGCACCTGCTCCCAGTAAAAAAGCGGATCAGAAGAAAAAAGAGAAAGTTATCGAGGTATTTGATTACTATAAATGTTATGTATATTGCTAACCTAAAACATTCCATATATTGAATATGCTCGCACGTGTACGCATACGTCTAATATTTTTTCATGTGCTACTCTTCATTTTTCATAGGATAAAACTTTTGGTATAAAAAATAAGAAAGGTGCTAAACAACAAAAATTTATTCAGCAAGTAGAGAAGCAGGTAAAATCAGGTGGCGTTAATCCACGAAAAGTAGAGGATCCTAATGTTAAAAAGCTTGAGAAAGAAAAAAAAATGAAGGAACAAAAAGAATTAGCTCTGATATTTAAACCTGTGCAAACACAAAAAATAGATAAAGGTACTGCATATAGACGTATTATGCAAGTTTAACCATATATATTCTAATGTTATTTTTATACATTGGAAAGAATATAATTTTATGTCCAGAAATAAATAAAAACTGAAAATCTATTAAATACACATATTTTTGAATATTACATGTAGATTTTTGATTATTACATTATAATAACTACAGCTGATGGTACAGTATTATTTGCTGTTAATTATTATTAAATTTAAATTATATTATTATGGATGAATAACAAAGTTGTAGATGACAAAATTTTATTCTGTATTTTTCTTTATTTTTGCCTATAAAATTATATTCTTTTCAGTTGTATAACAAATATTTTTTATCTCCTGTATAACATTTATGAAAGCCTTTCAGAGCATTATGTTATATACAGATGCAAATTGTACATATCAAATTATTTAAATTTATAGGAACTGATCCTAAATCAGTAGTATGTGCATTTTTCAAACAAGGACAATGTACAAAAGGGGACAAATGCAAGTTTTCTCACGATTTAAGTGTAGAAAGAAAGGCAGAGAAACGTTCATTATACTGTGATATGAGAGATGATGATGATAAAGAAACAGATACTATGGATAAATGGGATGAAGATAAGTTGAAAGAAGTTGTAGAGAAAAAACATGGCATCAGTGGAAATCGTCCAACGACTGATATTGTAAGTACATATTTCTACTGTATAGAATAAGTAGGTATTCTTTTCTACTCAAGAAAAGAAAACAAACACTATCGGCCTAATTTTAGATTTGTAAACATTTTCTGGAAGCAGTGGAGAAGTCCAAGTATGGATGGTTTTGGGAATGTCCGTCGGGACAAAAATGTATCTATAGGCATGCATTACCTCCTGGTTTTGTACTCAAAAAGGATAAGAAAAAAGAGGATAAAAAAGACGAAATTTCTTTAGAAGATTTAATTGAAACAGAACGAGCCAATTTAGGACCAAACCAAGTACGAGCATGTGTCATTCATTTTTAAATTTTTCATGTAACATCTTGTATATATTAAAAAATATACAGTAATATGTATTTTGATAGACTAAAATAACGCTGGAGACATTTTTGGCATGGAAGAAAAGAAAACTAAAGGAAAAGAAAGAGCAAGCTATTAAAGAAGAAGAAAGAAGACGAAATGATTATAAAGCTGGACGCCAAGTTGGAATATCTGGCAGAGAAATGTTTTACTTCAATCCTGAACTGGCAATGGGAGATGGTATATTCATTATTGTGAACTTGAAATTTTTCATGCAATTATGAGAATATTTATTTTCAAAATATTTATTCTAGGTATTGACGATGGAGATGAAGCAATATCTAGTTATGTCCGTGAAGATGAAGAAGAAGAGGATGAAGAAAGGTTTGAATACAGAGAGCTTGACATGGATAGGCTTGCTCTTGAAGCTAGTGAAATTGATACTACTGGAATAACTGTGGCTAGTACAGATAGATTAAAAAGTAATGAAATTAAAGACAATGAGAATGCTACTGGTATGTATGCAATAGTTACATTACTTTTAAATGAAATATATATTAAAGATATTAATGATATGGTTTCGTAACAGTTACTTTAGATGATGGTGCAGCTGCATTAGCAATTAACGAAAATCTATTTATGGAAGAAGATTTGGAAGGTTTAGAAGAAGAATTAGAAAATTTGGATTTAGAAGAGTGATCCAAATATTTTGTTCAGATTCTTCCCTTTACTGTGTGTCTTCATTTACCTGTACTCCTACAATATATAATATATTGTCAGCATATTATTCACGTATTCACTGCTAGTTTTAAGTGGGCTGCCTTGTACATTGTTATTTACATTTTATTTGCAAGCAATATATTTACTTATTATGTATATGTGAAGAGCTGGTCTCGTGCAAATCACTTTCAATTAAAAGTTTAATGTATTTTAATGTAATTATATTATAATTTTCGGTTTTTAATCATTAAAACTGTAGTTTATCATTTTTTATTATATACACAAGTTGTCTGACATTTATTACCTTGAGAAAGTAGAAACACATAATTATATCGCCATTATAGAAGTAGTTAATGAAACTTATTTTTTTAAGAATAATTTACTTGTAACGTATTTCCTAAAGCAATAAGTAAAATAGAGATTTAATGAAAGAACGAGACTGGCAAGTGAAACAAAAAATATTCTAAGAATCGACAGTATGGATATTAATAAATTTGTAGATTTGAACTTACTTCGACTTCTACAAGTATACGTTATCTTTATACATACGTAGTATGGATGAATAAAATTAATAATGCAAAACTCGTACATTACGTTGTTTTTCAAAACAAAAAATACAAATTGAACGTACAAAATTGCATAGCATTCCAAAATAGATTATTACTACAGAATTTTCTGAAATAAAATTTTGCAATTTTATTGAGTAGGTAGTCATCAAATGAACGTATGGTCTAATTCTGGATATCTTAAAAATTGATCATTCTACAACTGAAGACGGAAAAATTATTATTCTTATGTGGATTCCGTCACATGTGGGCATTTGGAACAATAAAGAAGCGAACAGAGCAGCAAAAGAAGCTTCTACCGTACCAGTAGCAGAAGAGCCGCCGAAAATGTCCTTGACCTCCAAAAACATTCTAAAGATAACTAATTGCATGGAATAATGAATCGAAAATTTCTCCAGCAGAATATGCTTTGGGAATAATGTAGTTTCTCAGTTCAGATAATATAAGTTTGGTACATCTTATCTTCAACGAAAACTCAAAGAATATTCAATAGACTGAGAATAGGACATACGAAATTCATACATTTTCATATCATTTTTAAAATAAATCCTTTGGTCTGTGACATATGCAATTATCAAACAACTACTACCTATATTCCCGTGATATGTTCTAAATACTCAGTATCTCGTGTTAAGTCTCAGATTAAAACAAATCTAAGTGAATATTTCAATGGTAATCACCAAATATTCGAAATATTACCTTTTTTGAAAGACTCAGAACTCTATGATTGAATCTAATTCTGTATAGTATACTTATCTATACTTATCGTCGCTAATAGCCATGTATGTGTAATTACCATGATGTCAAAAATACATTAAAAAGAAATTTTGCAAAGTGAAGTCGTATAACTTCTATTGTTCAATTTTTCTTAAGTGGAATTTATATAATTCAATTATATTTCTATATCTATAAATTTGCCAAATATCCAAATAAAATTATACATTTCAATACATGGAGGTATTTCTTTATATTATTTCATGTATTTATTCATACAGACATATTTAAATTAAATTCATTCATATCATATATTATGATAATGGTAAAAAATGCATTTTATTATTACTGAAATTACAGTGTTGAACATTCTGCGACGTCTATTTTGATCGTATCGGATAATTTTAATATTTTTCGAGATGCACGATATTCATACACGCCGATTTCTGGATGTTTTTCTATTAAGTATTTATATGCGCTAACAAGTTTATCAATATCTTCCACTGACAATTCCATTGGCCTTGTCTGAGGATTCAAATCGGTAAGTTTGTACATCATATGTCCACATTCTTTTCGACATTCTGGTGGAAACAAGGTTCTAGAAAATCGGGGAAAGAATTTTGCATTAGTTTTGAAAAGTGTAGAATATGCTATGTAAAAACAATGCGTCTCTTATATTAAAACTTTTTCATATAAATTGCACTTACTCAATACCTCGTACGCTATACTTCTGACGAAAACTAAAAATATGACGTGTTACACGCTCAAAAATTTTAAATTCATGTTTTGTACGTGGATTAGCTAGAGGTATAAATGATACCACACCAACATCAACATCTGGTTTTGGAACGAAAGCTGAACCTAAGATCTCAATAGAGGCATAAAATGAAATTAATCTATAAAAGGCATGAAAAGTTAAAATTAATAACTTTGATGTACCTTGTATTATAAAGTGTAGCACAGGCTTTGTCCAAGCCTGTGCCATTACAGACAATCTACATCTTTGATCATCTAATGGTTCAGCTACTAAACGCTCAGCAACTTCTTTTTGAAATGTTAATGTCATTCTAGACCTTCCAAATTCCCAAGGACCATTCCTTTCAGAGATTGAGTGTAACCACTGAATAATTAAGGGTGTGGACACATTAAATGGTAAATTACCAATTATGAATATTCTTGGCATCTTGTCTTCCCAAGATTTTTTAAAACTTTCCGAGAATAAAGGAGTCAAGTTCGTTCTCATGATATCACCATAAATAATATCCATTTTACCATTAACTGTACTATAAGCATCACTTAACATCTGTAGTATTGGTTTGAATCTTCTGTCCTTTTCTATAACAATTAATTTTTCTGGACATTGTCTTATAATTGACCTAGTTAATCCACCAGGACCAGGACCAACTTCTAATACTTCAGCTCCAGTAAGATTTCCTGCTTTCTTTACTATTTTATCTGTTAATTTTTCATTTAAAATGAAATTTTGTGAAAGCTGCTTCATCGCTGATACTTTATACAGTTTTACCATATCTCTTATACCTGGGAGAGGTGGTAATCTTGGAATTGTAGTCATTTTTCCTTTTTTTTTATATAAATTCTAATAGAGCATACTAATTTAATGTAGTTTATTTATGTTTATTTAATATAGCTTATGATACATTTGCTTTAATAACTTCTTTTCTTATTGTATGAATAAAGCCTAATAACTTCAAATCCTCTAATCTATAAAATTACAAACAATCCTAAGATATTTAATTTTTCTTTGTTTCAATTACAGTTTCAGGTTCATTGAAATCATCCAAAAAGGTCTCCTGTTTCACTTGCTTTATAGTATACACATAAATTCCAACAGCAAGAAGTCCTAAAAGTGTACCACCTATACCAGTACGTTTACGATTGTATCTATACTTAAATGCCCTTAGGAAATTTATTTCTTCTGCTTGTTTCAACTGCATATAGTCTAGAGATCTTAACTTATCAAATTCAACTTTTGGCATAAAGTCTTCGTTTTTACCTGCAAATAGATAAATCATTGGAAAACTAAGAACTTTGTGTGAGAATGTTATGTAATAAATATTAAGCTTGCCATTCACCAGCTTTCATTTTCTTGATACTTTCCGTTAAGTGACTTTTTGAACAATTGGACTAATTTCAGCGATACTTTCTCCTTCACGTTTCTGTTTTGTTAACAGAAAAAACAATGCGTATTAAAGATATATTTTTTAACCTTCAACTATATATTAAAATTAAGGAATTTTACTTTATATATATTGCATTTTACTGTTACATATATTATTCCTTAATAATATACGTCAAAGTATAAATATTTAAACAACCGAGGATACACTGTGGCTCATATTGTACGCATTGTATTTAAATAGGTTCATGATGAGATTTCTTTGTATATATTTAGATATAAACTTTGCTAGGGTTATGTCGAAATATCGAAGTTCTCAATTCAAATAACACGCTAAAGAAAATACAGAACTTTAATATAGAATATAACTATTTCAACACATGATTGCAAGTAATCATATTTGTAAGAGTTGTCATGTGGTTACCTTCAGTTACCTTTAAATTCCGAAATTGTTTCAAAATGTCGTCAATCGTACTCCCATATTCCACGCAGCATTTGGCCGTATCGGTATATGATACGCATGCGTCTTTAATTCGTACATTATTCACACATCGAATATGACATGCCTGAGTTTGGGCAAATAAGTAGCAATTTAAATATTACTATTTCTGTAATTGTAATAGACATATCATATATGATTATTTAGTAAATTATAAGAACATTTTAAGAATTATAAATTATCTTTACACGTTCAATATACAGTGGCCGCTCGTTTATTGCATATTTCGGGGCTGTAGAGGGCCAGAACTCCAGAAATGGTGCAATAAACGTGCGCCAATTACCCGAGTGCATTCCCCACCATTCGGCCGTTCAGTCGTGCGACGCAGTTATATATAAGGTGAGCTGGATATGTGCACTTTACGGTTACATTAATAACAGAGATATCAGAAAAGTTTATTTACAGAAGTTGTTCAGTACGAAGAGGGTTATTACTTAGCAGTAACAAGTTTCTCGTAGGTGGAGTATCTTCTAAGTTTGCAAAGTTAATTATGTTATTTTTATTAATGATATTAAAATATATTGGAATAAAAACTTTTATTACATAAATCGATTCTTCCAAACATTCTGCGTAATAAAGTATTAAGGTATTATGTAAAAACGGTAATAATTTGTGACATATTATAGTAGCAAATGTCTAGTTTGGTTAGCATCTTTTACCCATTACGTGTGATCCGCGAGACAAGAAGCAATCAAATTACCACCAATATTCATTGCACCAATAAAAACATTATTAAAACAGTATTATATACATTTTGCTTTCTGTGATGAGAAATGCGTGTTAAACGCGACACCGTATGTGTTCCGGCCTGGGCGTGCTGGGCGACAGAGTAGGGTACGTGCACGTCCCCTGTGTGGCGGGGGACAGAATACGCCCACGGTAATCCCTACCTGTCGTAAGAGGCGACTAAAAGGGACTGTTGGGATCGCGGGACTGTGGCACCCGCGGTCCGGTGGGGGGGG